GCCTAAACTAGAATTGTGAAATACTACACTAAACTGGGAGCCAATTAAGTCTTTCGCTAAAATCAAACTTTGACTTACAGCACCAACTACAAAGTGTTTATCGTTCTTCAGAGATCTAGCCAAGTGTTGCTTTCAATAATCCTTATTCAACAGTTCAACGAGACTTTAATATTCTTTTAAGTTGTAGAAAGTATTGTAAGTGTAATAAGCAAAAGAACTTTGAAATCTTTTTTTCATCCTCTTCTGATTATCCCAGATGACCATTCATCAATATACTCACTTAGTATCTTAAGTGGTATGAATCCTAATCCTTTCTAGAGGGTAGAACCTGAAATTTCATCCTTCATTTCATCTTAGTGTAATTGTACTTCAATCCAACCACCCAGAGTATGTATAAACAAACGATGACTCAATCACCCTAATATACGTAAGTGCTGAAGGATGCTTATTTTTTTAATGACGACCACAAAAACAATTTATAATTAAACATTCTATGTCACCAATGAAAGAATCAATGCATCTACACATTCTGCTGTTGTGTTTAAGAATTGAAACAAATGTAAATGAATTTTAAATGCAAATAAATAAGTGCATGGTCAGCAAAAACGTCTACATATTGAGGAAAATTTGGTTCCATTTAAAAAATTTTTTTCATTTCTTGCACTTATGTTAACAATTTAGTCTTTTTCAGGCTCATAATAGAGACATTTGCAGAACAGACAGTCCATATAAAACACTTGAGAAAGTGAACCTTAAGAGACTTAATCGGCAAAGAAGAAACATAACCTTAAATACGTCAGTCTTAAGATGATGTTAAATCTGAAGGTTACTTACCACTTGGTCGACGTTCAGTTGAAAGATGTCTTTTTGCTCCCAGATCCATTGAACATATCGTTCCCAACACCGATCCATGTATTTGGCGAAGTGAGCATCGGCACCTTCTTCTTCCAAAGACTGTTTTTTATATAAAAATATTCAGTTTTTTGTATATTGACATGTATCATCGCGTATCTTGTGGATTCCACACATCGAATGAAATATCCAATTGAATAATCCATAATATTGAATTAAAATTCCATTTTGTAACGAAAACTGTTCATGAATCTACTATTATAAATCGATACTAATTCAAGAAAGGACTTACCTTGTCTTCCGATCCTCCATACACATACTCTATCATTAATTCCAAATTGTAATCGATTTTCTCATATGCTAGGTATGGAAGAAATAAATTTTAAAAAGAAATAAGACAATCTCTAAGTAATAAAAACACTCACCATAAATATTATTCACGTCCAAGTATTGAAAAACAATAGAAAGAAGACAGGAAGAACAATTTTTGGGACATCCATCACGGCAGAAGACTGTTTGCGCCTTTTCAACCAGTTCATTCATTTTTGACTCGCACTCGCAACATAAGTATATGCTGCTGTATTCTAGACCTATTTCTTCACAAACATAACATATTCCGAATCTTGATACTTGAAGTTTTGCTGCCAATTCGGTGTTCTGGTCGTTCATTTCCATTTCTTCTTCTTCTTCTTCTTCCTCTGTTGTTTCACAATCTTCTTCATCCATTATTTCTAAGATATTAAATAGATTAAAGAGAGTTTCCATTCAGGTAAGATCTCGTATATGCACCATACTTTGTTTCTTTAAATTAAGAATTTTTTATGCCCATTACAAAGTTAAGATTTTCTCATTATTCTAAGAATTTTAAAGATTGTCAAAATTACTTCCCTTAATTCAATGTTTCACGTAAATTTGGGAAATTCGTGTGGGTTGTCAAATCAAAAATTAAAATTTTTAAACAAATCCATATACAATCGCCACCATAGATGGTCACTAGGTTACGCAGGGTCTTACTAAACACGATTCGACGTGCGTAGCTGCGTATAGATGAAACAGGTGATAATTTACAATATATATGTCTCTAATAATAACAGTTAGCTTCTGTGCTTATTACTGTGCTAAGCTACACACTGTGGCTACTTTCTCGTGCATCACCTT